TTATTGGCCAGGATTTCTCTCAGATGGGCAGTTTTCAGGTTTTCTCTTTTTATAACCAAAGAGAACAAAAGGGGGAGCGGAGGGAGGAGGAAGGAAGGAGGAAGGAAGGGAAGAAAAGAATCCGAGGTGCTCTCCTGGGCGGTCAGTGCCTGCTTTCCAAGGCGCGGTCATTCTCTGAGGCTTTCTCTATGCCCACGCCGATACAGATACATCTTTCTATTCCTTTCCTAGCTCTTGTGTACCTCTTTCATGGTTATAGTGCATTAGTGGTGTGAGTTTTCCTACACTGACATGCAATCTATATGACAGCAGAGATTTAGAGAAAAGGTCCGGTGAGTAGGTGCTTAATAAATATTTGTTCAGTCAATGATTTCTAGCGTGAGGCGAGAAGTGGAAATCGTTTGCAGAAGCCCCGTTTTCCCGAGTGAGGAGAACTTGTGTTGATATCCTTTTGAGGAGCAGAGGTACAGGTACCCATACAAGTCCATTATTCTTCACACATTCCTGGTCCAAGCCTTTGGAGGCCAAGATGGTTCATTTTACTTGTCGACATGACTGGGCCAAGGGATATGCAAGAGCTGCTTAAACACGTCCGGTGGGTCTGTGAGGGTGTTTCCCAAAGAGATTAGCATTTGAATTGGTGGATTGAGGAATTTATCCAATCACTTGTTACTTCTTTACACAGCCATTAAGGCTCCAGTAAACACAAACTGGAGAAAAGTTTCATTCGCTCTCTGCCTGACTGCAGTGCTGGGACAATAATCTTCTTGTCTCCTCCTGGTTTTCAGGCCTTGAGACCCAGGTGGGATCCACACCGTGGGCTCCCTGGGTCTCAGGCCTTTGCACCAGATCACTGACTCTACGCAGATCATGGGACTTAGCCTCCATTCTCTCATGAGTCAGTCCTTCAAAACACATCTCTTTATATGCATAGCCTATCTCCCTGGAGAACCCTGACTAATACAGAAACAGACTTTTAAAAATAATTACTATTCATCTGATCCTTTTTCTTATAAATGTTATATCCTTTTCCTTTTCCACTCCGACTACAGTTAGATTTTTAGATCAACAGAGCTCGAAGTAACCTCTATTGAAGGTGAACAGTGCTAAGCAAAGTAACTATATCCTCTGCCTCCCCATGTAACCATCAGCAAATCCACATTTCTAAGTACTGCTTTTTGGAATCTCTGTCTATCATCTATCTGTTTATAAAAATGCAACAATATGCTGCTATTGGTCTCAAGGTAGAGAGCAGGACACCATGCTTACCTCTCTGAAACCCTTTCTCGTGCCCCTCATGATGGGTTTGCTCCAATTTTGCACATAACAGATCTGAGGGATCGGACAAGCAATGTGCCCTAGGTTCTAGGTTCAGACCTTGCTGCCTCCGAAAGATGTGTGATTTTATAGAAGTGGGAAAGAGAATATACTTTTTTTTGAAGTTGGAGGATCTACAAGAAGCCAGGCACGAGCATGTGGAAGAGCACACGTGTCCAGGGAACCCCGAGTGGTAGAGGCCACCCGAGCAGTGTGCCGGGAACGGACACAGTGCTACCGTGTGGGTCCTGCACCGACGGAGCAGACTCGGACGCCTGAGCGACACAGCAGCGAAGGCAAACTGGTGGCCGTTAACCACGGCACTCCCTTCGGAAACGAAAGGGTAAAATCTGCTTATTGCGAAGAATACACAGCCTGTTCGTCCAACCTTCAGCTGTGTAATTGATGATAGAAATAATCATCAAAAGGTTTAGAACCGGCTAAAATTCATAGAAGTCTTAAAAAAAGAGAAAGAATTCCATGGTAATCCATGTTATATCCAATCCCTGAGTGGAAGTGATGCCAATTACTGCCACCTGCCCCTTCTTGTCTCGGTTACAACACCCCGGGGAGTGCCGCCCTGTCAAATGTCAGCTCTGTTTCTGGGGCCAGATGCAATAGCTCCCCTTGATGCCTGCCGGGGCGCAGTCCCACGTGCAAAGCAACATTAAATCTTCCCTTAGGCTAAACAGGGGCTGCCAATCGAGCGCTCTGTTTTCAACATACATGGGGAGACTGAACGTTCCCCCCAAAAGGAATGCACCAGATGCTGTACCAGGTGCTCTAGACAGGTTACTGCATTCAGTTCCCAACACCTGAAAGCCTATTTTTCATCCTTCCCAAGTTACACGGAAGCATATTGAGGCTTCAGAGTCACCACGTGCTTTATGTGGGAAAACAAGGACTTCAGCAGCATCATTCTCACCCCAACAACTATCCTCGACCCCTCCCGTTATAAACAGTCAGAATTTAATTAGATTTCTTTTGTATATTTTAATTACAAGCCCTCAATAATTTCCTACCCATTGTCTTCAATATTTATTGTTTCCATCCCCAACTCCCGCCAAAACCCTCACTTGAAGTCTCCCTGTCATCTTGGTGTTTCCGTGGTAATGAGGCCCGTGGAAATGACGGACGCTGAGGAGTGTCTTTGAGAGGGCCCACCACGACAAGTGTAACGACGAGAAAGTTATTGGCCACACGTGCAAGTTTTAGCCAGAAGAGCTGTCAGAAAGAGTGCACATGATAGTTACCGGCTTCTGACAGTGATGGGACCCTTCTTCTCCGTGAGCCTGGGAGGACGGGGCCTCCCGAGGTGCTCTGACGGGCCGGGTGTCGGTGGGTGTTCACAACAGCCCCGCGAGGCTAACAGGTCAGGAAATGCGTCATCCATCCGTCAAGTTCCTTGTTCAGTCTCCAAGCTGTAGGTAGCAGACCCCAAATTCACTTCTGAGTATTCTGCCTCCATCCGGGCTGTTTCCACAGCTACTCAGCTGTCTCCCAAAGCTTGCCTAGTAATTATTTAATATGTATTCACCCACTTATTGTTTCAGCGATATTAAATGTTTTTTTTTCCATTGGCCAGACATTATGCTGAGTGTGTGAGATTAAAGAAAAAAAAGGCTGACTCGCTGTTATCCAATGGCTCACAATCTTAGCAGAAAGACTGGCATGTAACTAATAATCATAATTTAGTAAAATCAGTGAAGAACAACCAAAGATTGAGAGATGGAGTTTTGTTTATTTATTTATTTATTTTATTTTTTTATCCTCATCCGAGGACATTTTTCCATTTTTTGTATAGACAGAGTGGGAGGGAGAGAGAGGAAGAGAGAGAGAGAGAGGGAAACATCGATGTGAAAGGGACACATCGAGTGGCTGCCACCCGCACGACCAACCAGGGCCGGGGACAAACTGCAACCGAGGTACGTGCCCTTAGCGGGAACCGAACCCGGGTCTCTCCGGACTGCAGGCGGACGCTCTAACTGCTGAGCCAAACCGGCCAGGGTTGGAGTTTTGTTTAAATGCTCCGTGGAAACTGCTTCATGTGACTTTTGACAGGTGATAAGATTTGGCCAGGTGGCTGATCATGTGAAAAACTTGTCATATGTGCTTTGCCTAAATGTCTGTTACATTTCATTAAAAAAATAATAGCTTCAAAAATATAGAATGACACCCATATCTTAATCCAATGAGTCATACTTTTGCTTCTCTGTATCTCAGGATGACATTTAATTACATTAGGTCTTCTTTGAATCTAGATACTCTTTCAATTGCTGGGTATGATTTTTACACATTTGTACAAATACACAGTATTATATTTAAAAGATTATTCTCTTTGTTAATCACATAAGGATTTCTTGTCTTATTAAAACAGGAGTGTTCTTTGCCGATTGCAGGAGTATTGGAATTTCACCTCAGGGAACCAGGTAGTTCACATTTGATTTCTTGCATTAATCACATCGACTGATGGAGACACCCTTCTGAAGGGCCGTGATTAATGTTTGTAAATCAAAGACTACCCACACCATGAATAGAAAGAGACACATCTAATGGTTGTTTTACACGCGCCATGTGATTAGCTGTAGTTCAGTCATTATCTCTGACATAGTTATAATTTAGTGTATAGCCATGTAAAGATTAGGTCTCATCCTTCCCAATGCTCTAGGTCAATGTTCAAAAACAGATTCCGTCCGGGTCCAGATAGATGGCTTGAGTGGAATAGGCCATGTGGGTAGTGAAATGGACGCCCCATCTAAGTGGTGTGATGTCAAATCAGCGACAGTGAATCGTTGCCATGAGACTTGCAGAAATGTGGGCGGTTGTTGCCAGGTCTTCTGATATTATAGAAGAAATAAAAAACAAACAAAACAGATGTTTATGGAAATCTCTGAATATTTACATTTTAGTATATTATTTGTTCATCACTCATTCATTTAAATAATGAGTTCAGCAAAACACATAATAGGGCTGGTTATGGTCCACCAGCCATTTGTGTAGACATTTAGCTCTTGATGCTCATGCCAAATTATGCAGATGACAACAAACTGTCCCCCACGAGAGAGTCAGCCTTGGGCCATCCTAAAAGCACAGGTGTCACTGACCATTCTGAGTCGATTTCTGATTGCTCCTACTAACACTATGTTTTTCTAGGCGGGGTTAAACTGAATGTTTTCAGTCATAGAGTTCTGTAGCATTGACCCCACAGATATCTAGACATCACACTTGATCGAGGTGTTAGTACCGTGGGGGGAGAATGTCTGAAGCGGAGCTGGGAGGGCGGAATCTAGTCACTGCCTACACCTGCTGCTTCTCCAGCTACATAATGTGGAGGTGTCTTGAGCAATCTCTGACATTTTATCCAAAAGATGCATTATTTAATTAAGTCATAATTATGGAAGGCTTGCTAAATACCAAGTCATTTCATTCTGAGTCTTAGATAAATATGGATAAACCAAAAATCCCACTCTTAGTCATGTTGGAGTTCGCAGGATAGAGAAACGTCTACCAAATCATCATGGATGATACATTGTTTAACTGGCTACACACATACAGCCTAGTTGATCAATAAATCAATGATGCATCTCCCTAGTCTGAACTCCTGTGTTGTGTTTACCTTAAAAACCATTAACTTAACAGTGGACTTTCTGCGATTGTTTTGACTTCTCTGTGTTTCCTTCCAGGTTAATCTGTATGTTCTAGGGTCATCATTGTTGGCATTAAATATCTTTGGGCCAGAGTTGTGGCATCTTTTCCTAATTCCAGTAAACTCATACCAGACAGGATGGAATTTCATATTCAACACAACACGCTCTGAAGTCTGGCTGAGTGAGTTTGAATCCCAGATTCACTCCTTTGTAGCCAGGAGTTCTGGGCAATTTCCTCGACAGCTCTGGGCCTCAGTTTCCACACCTGCACCATAAAAAGGTATTGTGAAGGTTACTGTGTGGATGAAATTAGTAAAAATGATTAGAACAGTGTCTGGCGCATAATATGTGTTCAGTGAATGTTACCTGTCGTGATCATGTGCCTCAGAGCTCAGGTGTCCCAGGGACATCCACTAGATAGATTTTCTCGGGTCTGATCACTGGTTTCTAGCCGGCGTTGAGGAAGAAGGCAGGGTGTGAGTGGCCTGGATCCCTGTGATGAAGAGCCACCCTCAGAGGAGAAAGGGCTATAACATAGAGGCTTCCCTGATGATCTCCCCAACACACACTGTGGGCTCCAATCTCATGAGACCACCTCTTACTCCACACTCTGTTCTGATAGCCGGCTGCTACTCAACCTTCATGATCAGTTCAATGCCGCTGACTTTGCGTAGCCTTGGTGGAGAAGCCAGGTGGTATTACGTGCTGCTTCCTGCACTCCCAGCCCAGGTGACCCTCCTCCATGACAACACTCAACCTATTCAATTGCATTGTCCTTGTCTTTTCTCTGCTCCACACGTGTCTTCCAGAGGAGGGGTCAGGTTGGTGCCTTTTATCTCCAGCACTTTGCAAAGTGCCTGCACCTCAGAGAGACTCGGGAAACGTGTGTTCAGTGAAAGAAGAAAAAGTGTTCAGTGGCAGAGAGTCTGATGGAACTGATGAGTGAATGATCGAACGAAAACAGAAAGGCATTATACGATCGTTGGCATCAAGTTCAAATTGTGTTTTCTTCTTGGTTTTCCCTACTTGAGAACAATGGTTGGCCTAATCTAATATAATCTTTTATTTTATTTATTTCTAAAATATCTTTTTATTGATTTTTTTTTTAGAGAGAGAGGAAGGGAGAGATAGAAACATTGATGTGAGAGAGAAACATTGATCAGCTGCCTCCCGCTCGCCCCCTGCTGGGGATCGAGCCCACAACCCAGGCATTTGTCCCGACCGGGAATCAAACCAAGACCTCTCAGTCCATGGGATGATGCTCAATCCACTGAGCCACACCAGCCAGACTCTAATCTAATCTTTTGAAAGTTAGTCAAATTTTGTTGCAAAATTATTACAGATATGAAAAGAAATCAGATTAGCCATCCGCTGCCACACGCCCCTCGGTTAACTTTGTATCCGGTTCAGCTCCGCAGCACTGCTCAGCCTGATCCTGCAGATGCTGCCGCGTCCTGTCCCCCAGGCGCTGCCTTGCCGTCCACGCCCTCTCTCCTCCTCTCCACCTCCGCCAATGCTGCGCAGTCTCTGAAGCTCAATTCAACTCTCATTGCCCAAAAGTCACCCTATCCATTTGGACTTCTTTAATATTCCACAAGGATCCTAATTACCATGACTCGCTGTTTTATTTATTTTTATTTTCTCTCTGACAACATATAAATTTCCTGAGAGGAAGGCTCACATATGCTCTATCTCCTTATAGGTCTTATATCGACAGTGACTACACACGCTTCTACAGCAGCTACTGGGGAAAATCTTGGAGCAAAGGAGTTTTTCCACTATAAGGGGAATTATAACGAGTATGTGTATTAAATGCTATTTATGTCTTTTATTTTACTAAAGATCTAAAAAAAGTTTTCTCCCATTACACACCAAAATAAATTTTAGATATAACAAAAATGTAAGCAAAAATAATGGAATTATAAACACGTAAAAAGTACTAAAGGTGAACAATTTAGACACTGATATTGGGCAGAACAAATAAAGAAAAATACTGATGATGGAAATTTTGAAACTGTCATTTTTGTGCACCAAACTACTGAGTGGCCAATGATAGTAACTGATGTGTCAGAAAAAAAAATATCCCAGATATATAAAGTATACTTACACATCAGTAAGGAAAATAAGCATAGCAATAGAATATTGAGTAAATACATAAATTATAAAGAATAAACACAAAATTAGATAAAGCGTTCATTCTTTGTAGTGATTCAAATGGAAATGAACTGAACACTGGGGTAAAAGTCAAGACTGTGGACAGATTACTGCAATGTTTCCAGAGGGTACTTGGTGATATGTATCAAAAAGCCTCAGAATGTCCATGTCGGCTCGTCCAGAAATTCCACCTACAGAGTGAAACCAGCCTGGAAGGACCTGCTTGCCAGCATTGTAACGGCTGTTTCCTTCTATTTACCTATTTATTTTTGTCTGTTCTTTCCTTTCCTTTTTTTTTTAAATCTTCCTTTTTATTCTTTCTATAGAGAATGTATTATGTATTTTTAATATATCATAATTCTTAAAGTAACTAAAAATGCTGTTAAAGAAAAGATATACAAACTAACGCTGTTGACTGTATCCCCCACGTATGATCCAGGGTGAACATAGACGCTTTGTTCTTTTATTCAGTTCATAGCATGTAAAATTATGAATTTTATCCTAATATACGATGAGAGTCAGCAAGTTTTTGTAAGAAAAAGCAGAGGTTTTGAATTTTGGACTTGAATGGAATTCTGGCCCCACCTCTCAGCTGTCTGTCTTAGGGCAATGCCCGCTGTCCTGGGAGCCGGAGCCGCATCCATAACAAGGACAGAGGTTTCTGAGGCCTCCCTTTGCGGGTCTGTCGTGAGGTTAAATGAAATCAGCTAAATAGAGAATCTGGAAAAATTCCTGGTGCCCAATAAATTGTTGTCATTCCATAAAATGCACCTTTAGAGACATTAGCCAGTTAGCTTTAAATCGAGGAATGTTTCAGTCAGTACAAATGTATTATTATAGCTTGAACGGAAGATTTGGGGAAGGGGGAACGCATGTGCTTTGTACGCGATGGGTGCTTGGAGTTCGTGTCTTTGGCTGCAGAAGGTGGGCCTGGACTAACCAGAGGCTGGGCTGGCTCCCCGACCTTCCTGCTGGATTCCTTCCGCCGCATGAGCACCTTTGGCCAATAATCTGCCCGGTGCGTTGGTTCACTACTTACTAGCCACGCTGTTGAACTTGGGGCCGGGGCCTCACCGGCAGCCACAGGGCTGATGTCTGCTCTCAGTTTTGCGGGAACAGCTGTGCTGACAGAGCAGAGGGAAGAAAACAGATGCAGGGAAAAGAGGCTTTAATGCCGGCGGCCGAATCCTTGCTCGGAAACTTTCCCACAGAGAAAACCTCTCTAGAGCCAGTCTTCCATTTGCTCCCTTTTTAGAAACCGAGTCTGACAGTCTTTATCACTTTGCCGTCTCTGAATGATCTTCAAACACGCAGGGTCCCTTGGGGTTCCCGTACCCCCGACAGGCACGCCCTAATCCCCTCCCGATCGGGCAGGGTTTTTCTCAGATGCGCATGATGGATGCCAGAGATGTGCTGGCAGGTGGGGCGAGGGTCCTCTCCAGGCCCTGGGGGGCTGGGCATGGCCGACCAAGGCCGGGGATTGAGGTAGGATGCACTGGTGACCGCTCGTGTATCCAGGACAAGGACCAGTCCGACGGGGGCTGTGTTTTCAGCATGTGACACAGAGAAGGTGTTCAGAAAAGGTTTGCCAGTCTAGAGGTGAGTCTTGCCTGTGACACCTGCCGAATTGTATGGTCGTAGTCAATGATCTAATACGAAGTTATGCTCAAAACAGTTTGTAAATCTCCTCCTCCTCCTCAGTCCGAGCATACAGCCGCCAAGTTTCTACACCCCTACTGGAATATCTCTAGGGCAGTCCCACGGAGACAAATATTTATATGACGTGGAAAGCAGTCTCATTTTGGATCAGACCGGGCTGGGTTTAAGCTGTCCAGATTCAATTACTTTGTTCATATAAAATACCGGAGATCTGGGAGGCCAAAAGGAAATACTACTTTCCAGCGAGGGTGTCCGAGAGGCTCCACTGCCGCCGCCTCAGAGAAGCCACCCTTGGTTTTCACATGCAATGTTTCCCCCTTCAGCCCTGTTGCTGGTTTAGGTCCCCCTGTAACTTATTCTGGGCCTGGCCCAGAGCAGATGCCCAATGAATAAAACTCTCTGGCTCAGGAGCCTGGGCACAAAGCCTTGGTGGTAGGTGGTGGGACTGTCCCTCGGACTCAGGCACGCGTTAGTCTTCATCCCCCGGTGTCTGTCCTTCCCAGAGTCTCAGTGCTGGGTCCGCCTGATTCTCACACCACCGTGTCCCTCCTCATCGCCTCGCCTTTGCTCTTCCCAGCTGGGACGGCACCTTTTGGGTTGAACCAATATGTACTTTGGTGTAGTTCGGAGAACTATCTCTGGAAACCCTCTGGGAGATACATGGGGGTAACGCAGATTCCAGGGATACTGCCGATGCTGACAAGGCCCATCTTCCGGGGCAGAAGGCGAGATAGATGGGGGATAGAAGTGGGATTCCGCTGTCCCCCACCCATCCTCCTCCTACGCAGTTTCATCCCTGGTAAAGGGGGGAGCAGCAGGGATGGGGGCTAGTTCTGGAAACTTGGAGTAGGGAGAGAGACGTGAGCAGCAGAGCCAGCAATCTGTCCAGTGTCAGTCAAAAGGGGGAGGTGCCACCTCATTTCCGGCCTACTAGCTGTGTGGCCTTGAACACGTCCCTTCAGGGCTCTGAGCTTCATTTCTTCAGCTATCAATTCCTCCTGTTCAGCCGGATGGGGTGAATCACAGAATTTAAGCAAATACAGAAGAACCAGGACCCACAAAAGAATGGAACCGCTGCGGCTCTGGGAATCCAGTAGAAGCCACTGAGCTTCTTGTCTTTTTTTTTTTTAATCCTCACCCGAGGACATTTTTCCATTTTTTGTTCAGATAGAGTGGGAAGGAGAGAGAGAGAGAAACATCAATGTGAAAGGGACACATCGAGTGGCTGCCACCCACACAACCAACCAGGGCCAGGGACAAACTGCGACCGAGGTACGTGCCCTTAGCGGGGACCGAACCCTGGTCTCTCTGGACCTCAGGCTGGTGCTCTAACCGCTGAGCCAAACTGGCCAGGGCTCTTGTCTTTTTTTTAAATGCTACAACAGGGGCATCAACCAGTTCCAACTCTTGCTCCATCTCTGCATCACTTGGTTCAAGATTCAAATTCCAACAGAAAAAAAAGTCAGATTGCTCTAGCTCAGATCGCGTGCCCACTCGTCCCTCTGATGACAGTCTTCCTACAGCATCAGTGGATGGCAGAGGAGGGTGTTCTATGACCAGAACTGCTCGATAGGGACTTGACCACAGAAGAAGGGACTCAGCCAGCCCGTGGTGACCAGCAGAGAGAGGACTGCAGTCGTAACTAGCTTGACCTTGCTTTTTCCCAGCCCTTTATATGTCTTCCTAGTGCCTCCAACTGGCCAAGCCAACTGGTAGCTTCTGGGCAAGGGAGCCCATTGATAAAGTTTATACTACATCAGCCTTCCAGGGAACACAGTGTGGAGAAGACTGTGCAGAATGTCTTTAGTACATTCATGGCAGTGAATTCTTCCTTTCTTCTTCTTCTTCTTCTTTTTTAAAAAAATAAATAAAAAAGGCCTCATGATTTCTCTCATCCAGAAGGAAAAATTGTGTGTGCCGTCCCTGGTTCAGGAAATTCCTCATAATTTGGAAATGGCCAAGGCCATGAGTCAGCGGGTTTCTCCCCTCTTCTTCTCTGGTGAGCCCGGGCTCAGCACGGCCCAGCTCCAGCTGCGGGGCGCCCCCTCCTTGAGGCGCCTCATGGAAGCTGTGGGTGGCAGTTCTTCCTACGCTGGTGGCTGTCGGAGCTCCTGCCAAGGCTGAAGGAAGCCACTTCAAAAGAGGCTACCACCGCCAATGATAAATGGAATCAGAAGGGTCCTGCTGTAGCCCGGACCGCTCTGATCACTTTTCACCAGGCCCATTCTGCAGGGAACATGCTTCTTCTGAGTGGGTTTGGGTGACACTGGGGCCTCGTCGCCAGGCAGCCCTTCGTCAAGTACAGACTCTTGTCGGTCTCAGGAAGGTGGGGAGATAAGAGTTTCGCTTGAAGGGAAAGGAAATGGGGCTTTTGCCATGGACACTCTGGGTGTTCCCTCTCGTTTCTTTTTTTTGCTAAATAAGGTTGGAATACTTTTCAGTTTACTCTCAGCAAAAAAAGATATTTTGTGATCTCTGCATGCGTTAAAAATAGACTGACTCGAGTTAAAGTTACATTTTTTTATTCCATAGTTTTCAGATGAATTCAATTACTCTGACTCCATGGTTTAGGAAAAGAGACAAAAATGGATATTGGAGTAAATGAGCATTTCATTGTTCTAAGGGCAGGAGGATGGACCGAGGGGCCACTGAGATGGAGCCCCCAGTGCAGAGTGAGCGTCCGCTGGACCCGCGAAGCCGGGTCTCTGTCTTGTCTCGGCTGCAGTGCGTGCGGTGCGTCAGATGAGAGGGTGGAGATCCAATCAGCCACCGCGATCCCACACCCAGAGCGTTCGATCTGCAGCCCGTGTGCTGGACGGGCTGTGCCTCCAGAAGGCGGGCCTGCCTGTGATCAGGGAGGGCTGCCACCCTTTGTGGTGTTCCCCCACCCCCGGCTCCACTGACATATGATCGACATGTGATCTTGTGTTCGTTTAAGGCCTTCAGCATAATGATTTGACATATTGCAAAGTGATTACCAGATTAA